ACCACATCACACCTACTCATAGGTTTAAATAAAATATTGATCGGCCATTATTAAGCACAATTATTGGCATAAAAGAGGTTTTCAATACCCATTTTTAGAATAAAACAACATTCTTGTTCTCTCTCCCTCTTTTTCTTCCTCTCCTTCATTCCTTTTTTTTCTCCTTAAAAAAAAAAAAAGTTTATTTTTTGAATTGTTGAAATTGATGGAGGCCTTACCCATCTCACGGTGGAAAGAGTGTTAGCTTGTAAATCATGAGACAGGAAGTTCTAATCCTGACTGCATCACCAAAGAGACTGCATCTCTTTGGATGAGATCTGAACTAAGAGGTTACTAAGGTCCACTCTAGCTAAAAAAAATTCTGTAAACTATGATTCAAATCTCATTACAATTTTTATTACCATTGCATATGTAGCAACTTCAGGATTTAGAAAAATTATACTTTAACAAATACCATTAATTGCAGTATCCCGAGCAAAGATAAGTCAAAATTTAATCTGTGATTAAATACCTTTTTGTGTGTGCGTAAAGAAGAGCTGGGAAGCCAGGCGCCGTGGCTTACACTGGTAATCCCAGCACTTTGGGAGGCCAAGGCAGTCAGATCACAAGATCAGGAGTTCGAGACCAGCCTGACCAACTTCTAAAAATACAAAAATTAGCTGGGCGTGGTGGTGTGTACCTGTAATCCCAGCTACTCAGGAGGCTGAGGCAGGAGAATCACTTGAACCCGGGAGGCAGAGGTTGCAGTGAGCCGAGATCATGCCACTGCACTCTTGCCTGGGTGACAGAGTGAGACTCCGTCTCAAAAAAAAAAAAAAAGAAGAGCTGGGGAAATATGTTACTGGTGGGGATAAGTCAAGAAAACCATAACTTATTTTCATGTTTAAATTACATCTGGAAGCAATCAAGATTTGAGATGGGGAAGGCCTCTATGAATTTCAACAAAAGTGCTTTTGTTAAACTTGGTTAAATCACATACACTTACAAAGTCACATACCAGAACACTAGCTTGACTTTTAACACGCTCTACTTACGGTCAGTCCAGAACCTGTGAGTTGTATAGCTACTACCCCCTAGTGGTGGGGAAAGATAAGTTTCAGTCAGGACATTTTTAATTTTAATTTTTTTTTTTTTTGAGATGGAGTCTCATTCAGTAGCCCAGACTGGAGTGCAGTGGCGTGATCTTGGCTCACTGCAACCTCCGCCTTCTGAGTTCAAGTGAGTCTCCTGCCTCAGCCTCCCCAGTAGCTGGGATTACAGGCACACACCACCATGCCCAACTAATTTTTGTATTTTTAGTACAGACAGGGTTTCACCATGTTGGCCAGGCTGGTCTTGAACTCCTGACTTCAAGTGATCTGCCCACCTCGGCCTCCAAGGTGCTGGTGTTACATGCATGAGCCACTGCACTGTCCCAAGACATTTTAAATTACTTTGATTGGCAAAGAACATCATCCCTGTTAAGGCAGGCTGAAATAATCATTCATTTAGCAAATAAACATACAAAGTTCTTTCTATAGTCTGAAAACTGTGCTAATGCTGGGAAAATACAAACCCATTTCTTTCCTTTGGAAAACACATGTGCCAACAAGCAGTTGAATGCAATGTGATAAGAACTAAAACAGATGTAAAAATGTTGTGGGAGCATAGAGGAGGCAGTTACTAGTTCTATTTAGAGAAGTTGAGGAAAACTTCTCAGAGAAATTGATATTTAGATCTAAAGGCATCTTTACCAAGGAATGAATGGAAAAGGCACAGACTGAAGTCTGTGCAAATATGTTCAGCAGGAATAAAAGTGGTATGTATGGAAAATTGTGGCAATGTGATTAGTTAAGCTAGAAAGGACATTGTGGGTAGGAGTGAGGAAGATTGAATTTTTTTCTGTTTCTGTTGAGATGTTTGGGCTTTTTCTTTACTCACTTAATATTGTGTATTACATTTATTGATTTTATTAAACTAACCTTGGCTAGGCACAGTGGCTCATGCCTGTAATACCAGCACTTTGGGAGGCTAAGGGGAGAGAATAGCCTGAGCCCAGGAGTTCAACACTAGTCTGGGCAAATAGTGAGACTCTGCCTCAAATATAAATAAATACACTAACCTTAAATTCTTGGGGTAAACCCCAATTGGTCATGATGTATTATATCCTTTTCACACATTGTTCGGTTTGATTTGTTGGTTTTTTATTAAAATGTTTTGCTCTTGAGGGATATTGGCATATAGTTTAATTTTCTTATAACATCTTTGGTTTTGATATTAAGGTAATGATTGTCTCATACTCCTTGATTTTTTTTTTTTTTTTTTTTTTTTGTTAAAGGACAGGGTTTCACTGGGTTGGTCAGGCTGGTCTCAAACTCCTGACGTTGTGATCCTCCCTCCTTGGCCTCTCAAAGTGCTGGGATTACAGGCATGAGCCACCGAGCCTGGCAGAATTTTTTTTTTTTTAAATAAAGTACATGTAGGTTCCTAAAGTTGGAGAATTTTGGAAAATGGCCAGATTAATAAGTTAAATGATTTGACTGAAATTGAAATTTTCTAATATTCAACAGATGCCTACTATGTGAAGGGTGTCGTGCTGAGCGTTGGGAACATAAAGACGAAAAGCTAGGTTCTTGCCTTTGTGGTACATATGCTTTAGCAGGCGATAACTGAAGCATAGCAACACATAAGGTACAACACAAAGACTGACATAACGGAAAGATATGGAAGCATTAGAGAAAGATTATCTTAAGGACCTGGCAAAGTCCCAGAGAAGGTATTATTTGGGCTGATATGTGAAAGTATCAGTTCACCAAATTGACAGGCTAGAGAGAACATTTCAGGCAGGTTTAATGTATGTAAAGTTATGAAGAATATGAAGAACATGAACAATTTGGGGAACCAGTAGTAGCTGAGGATTACTGAGATTTTAAGTGAAAGGTTGGAAGTCATAGAGAGAAAGCTGGACAAGGCCAGGGTTTATCTGTAGAATAAGCCAGGGCTAGATAACGAAGGGAGTTATTACCTTGTAACCGTTTGCATTTTATCTTACTAGTAATGGAAAGCTATGGAATAATTTTGAGCAGAGAAACGATTTGATGCAGATTTTTATGTATAATAGATTGGCTGGAGAGTAGAGGTAGGATGAATGGAAAGGAGTACAAGTACGGGAGTGAGGTGATAAGGGCCTGAATTAGGGTGGTGAGAACAAAGAAGGGGAAAAAAACCAATATATATTTGGTGGATTAAATAACTGGTAAATAAAATGGCCACACTAGATTTGCTAACTTGAAGCTCACTGGTGATCTTAGGAACAACAGTTTTTACTATCATAGGGTGGTGAGAGCAAAAGTTGACTGGGTGCTGTGGTTCATGCCTGTAATCCCAGTGCTTTGGGAGGCTGAGGAGGGTGGATCACCTGCAGTTAGGAGTTTGAGATCAGCCTGGCCAACATGGTGAAATCCCGTCTCCACCAAAAATATAAAAAAATTAACTGGGTGTGGGATTACTCTTGTAATCCCAGCTACTTGGTAGACTGAGATAGGAGAATTGCCTGAATTTGGGAGGCAGAGGTTGCAGTGAGCAGAAATTGCACCACTGCACTCCAGCCTGGGCTACAGAGTGAGATTCCATCTCAAAAAAAAAAAAAAGCAAAAGTTAGGAGGGTAATGAGTTAAGAATTAAAATGATAAGCAAGTTGAATCAATACTTTTAATATGTATTTGGGTGTGAAAGGTAGAGAATTTTAAAACTGTATTAAGAGATGGATAATCAAGAGAAGGGAAATTTAAATTTATACAAAGAAAAAGCATGGTTAAGAAAGGGATTTTTTTTTTAAAGGTGAAAGGACTTGAATATACTTACATGCTGAGGGAAAGGGGTGAATGAAAATGAGGTGTTTTTTTTTGAGATAGAGTCTCGCACCAGACTGGATTGCGGTGGCGCGATCTCAGCTCACTGTAACTTCCGCCTCCCGGGTTCAAGCAATTCTCCTGTCTCAGCCTCCCGAGTAGCTGGGATTATAGGCGCACCCCACCACCAGCTAATTTTTGTATTTTTAGTAGAGACGGGGTTTCACCATGTTGGCCAAGATGGTCTGGATCTCTTGACCTCGTGACCCACCCGCCTCAGCCTCCCAAAGTGCTGGGATTACAGGCCTGAGCCACTGCGCCCAACTGGAAATGCATTTTAAGATACAGGAAAGAAAGAATATAACTCATTAAACCAGGTCCCTGAGGAGATTGAGGAGTAGAGAATCCAGGGCACACACAAGTGGATAGGAGAAAGAATAGGTGAAGATGCAGATAGACTAGAAACAGGGTGTCATTAAGTTGAGAGAGTTCACACAAACTTTAGTTTCTTAGGGAAGTAGTAAGATGTTTTATCTGTCAGGAAAGGAGAAGGCTTAGAGTTGAAGGCCTGAAAGGGCAGCAAAATTTGAAACAACCATGAAAGGGAATGAAAATAAAAACTAGCAACGGAAATCTGGGTGTTAAGGGCAAAGCTGAGCCTGAAACCCCTAAACTTTTAGGGACTACAATCTTTATACTTGTATGATTTGCTTTTGGAGAATAATGGAGGGAGATGTTTGAAATATACATGATTGGAATCTTTTGGGTTATCTGTAATGGAAAGACAAAGAGGAAAGGAAGCTTAGGGATGCTGGCAAGAGAACTGCTGAAACCAGAGACAGGAGGAATAAAGAGGAGAAGGCTAACAATGTGTGCAGAACATGAAGGATAATAGTTGAGGTAGAAAAGAGGAAACGATGGTTAGATTTATATCAGGAGATTGTATGGCTAGGAAGAGTTAACTATATAGACTTTGAAATCTCTGAAGCATTTGGGAGGAGTGGAAGAGTGAAAACCAGTAAGAATGTGAACCAGAAGCCAGAATCCTCCAAAAATGATTGCCAGTGATGTTACCACAGAACAGAGGAAAAAAAGAGGTACCATGTGGGGTAGTCATATGACCTAGGCTTCAGATGAGATCACAGGGTCAGAAACACGGAACAAGTAATAAATCAATTTTCTGTCTTTAATTTTCTTTTAACACGTCAGTGAAGATAATAGCCATACAAATCTTAAACAACAGAGAAATAGATGGAGGAGAAAATAAGTTTCTTTCCCCACACTTAGCCCTGTGTCCTTTGACAGCCTTTTCAATGCATTTACATGCACACATATACAATTTTTGGGTGTTTTGACAAAAATTGATAATGCTGTGTTTTTTGCAGCTGGCTTTTAAAAAAATCTTGAATTTCTTTCAATGGCTAACTCTTTAGTTCAAAACACCTCGTGGTAATAGATACGCCATTAACTGTTTCCCTTTGATAGATGTTCATGTTGTTTCCATTTCTTTTTCACTATTCAAACAATGCTGTAGTAAGCATTATTGTACCTACTTTTTTGTGCATGTAAGGATTTCTCTACAATACTTATTAGTGAAATTGCTAAACTGAAGATTACATACAATTAATATTTTGATAACTGTTAAATTTCCCTTCAAAAATGCTGTGCCAATTTACATTCCTGCCAACAGTTTATGAGATTATAGTATTCCTCACGTCCTCGCCAGGGATAAATATTGTAATTCTTTTTGAAATTTAAGATACCAGTTTCCAAGGTAGAGTGGAAAAATTAGAGGCAGGTTTTCAACAGTCAACAAAATGACTTAGACTGCTGCTGTTGTAATGAGGCAGACTTGAGTTCTTTATCTCAGTTTTGCCACTGAACTATAAGTTACGGTGTTGTGGTAGGTCTACATTTGGGGCGCAAAAATATCGTATTTATGGAGAGAATTCGGTAGGATTTATCATTGTAACAGAACCGCGATCTAATATCAGCCATTAGATATTTCATTATGCTGCCGATTTTATCAGGATTTGGGTTGATCCCATTTAGAGTTTATTTAACAGGATTAAATTTTCCAAAAAGATAATTGGAATATATGCTGAAAGTGAGGCAAAATATTTCAACAGGTGTCGTCTTGAAAAATTGGAGATAAAGAGTGTGAGGCACGAAATCATGCTGGGTATTTTCAGCGTTTAGACTCTGGAGAGTTGAAATCCACCGTGTCTATGATCAGATCATGAATTCTCTGTAGGCCCCTCGTCTGGGATTACCGGCTGGCAGATACCTCTTTTCTGCCAGGTAACTACAGTTAGGAAGTGACTCTTGGAAGAAAATCCATCAAGATTCAATATGGTCCTCATCCTTCTAGTGCACTGCGGGCACCTGCCTAGAGTAAGATGGCGCTTTTCTTTTCTTTTTGATTTTTATGAAGACGGGGTTTCACCATGTTGGTCAGGCTGGTCTTGAACTCCCGACCTCAGGTGATCCGCCAGCCTTGGCCTCCAAAGTGCTTGGATTACAGGCGTGAGCCACCGCGCCTCTTTTTTTTTTTTTTTTTTAAGAGAGAGTCTCACTCAGTCACCAGGGGCCAGGCTGGAGTGCAGTGGCGCTACCTCGGCTCACTGCAACCTCCGCCTCCCGGGTTCAAGTAATTCTCCTGCCTCAGCCTCCCGAGTAGCTGGGACTAAAGGCGCACGCCACCACGCCTAGCTAATTTTTTTGTATCTTTAGTAGAGATGGGGTTTCACCATGTTGGCCAGGATGGCCTCGATCTCTTGACCTCGTGATCCGCCCGCCTCGGCCTCCCGAAGTGCTGGGATTACAGGCGTGAAGATGGCGCTTTTCTTAAGCCCCTCTCTGGGAGGGAGATTTCCATAACCAGAGTCAAGCACTGAGAGGCATCTTTGCCATTACCCAAGATGGTCAGCCGTGCACCCTCACCGTTTCCAGGTTTCAATATGGCTCCCCGCGTCACCGAAAAGGTTAATCTCGGAAACTAACTTGAACTCGCGCGGAAGTGACGCAAGCAGAAGTTCTCGCGCTTTGCGTCTCCGCCTCCCGCGTTCCGCCCCCGGTCTTACGTCTCGCCCCCGGCAGCGCGGACCGCGGAGCCAAGATGGCGGCCGAGTTGGAATACGAGTCTGTGCTGTGTGTGAAGCCGGACGTCAGCGTCTACCGGATTCCTCCCCGGGCCTCCAACCGCGGTTACAGGTGCTAACCCCGAGGCGCTGCCGCACACGCGTACTCTGTCGCAGATGACAGCTTCCTTTTCAGCTAGCACGCTGCCTGTCCCTGCCACTGCTACCTCTGTATTGTCACCTTGCTAAACTCCCTACCTGGGTTGTCATCTCCCTCACCTCCTGCTCCATCTCCACTCTGGACTGTCATCACCATATTTCTGCCATTTTTTTAAAAAAAAATTACCACTCTGCATTAGTCCACTCCTCCTCCCCCGTGACCCCCCGGGACACCCATCTGCTCCCCATCATCGACTTTCAGTCGTGCCTGCTCCATCGCCAGTCCCCTTTCATTCGCTCTTCCCTGCGTCCTTCAGCTTATCATCCTCGTCCTCTCTCTCTCACACACACCTTTCCAGTACCCCATGCACAATTACGGGTGATAGTATTGCTTGCCATTCTCTGGATGATCTGATTTATTTTTTGTACTGTTGTCAATTTAGTCACCAACTGTCATCATCCACTATTCGATTTTTCCTTCAGCTGTTTTACCAGTGAAGCAAAGGTTATGATCATAAGCTTTACAACGATTGTTAATTCTGTTTCTTCTCCTCGTATTTTCTTGATTATATAGTATGTTCTGTCTTCCTTCCCTCCCTCCCTTCTTAATCTCTTACACCTTTTCTCTCCAAAGTTGAGGCAGTATTTTTCTCTCTAGGGCCTAACTAATCACCTTGTAATCCAATGACTGTGAGGTTCTGAGGATGCTATAGGACATTATGTAGTTGGAAGTTCACTGGGCTACATGTTAAAAAAGATGTGTGTGAGCCCTTTCCAAGGCTCGGTTTTCTCATCTGTAAAATAGAAGAAAAAAAAAACCCCCTTAGTGATGATACCTTTGCTCTTCCGATAATATACTTAACAAGAGTTTTTGGAAGAGTAAAATTAAATCATATAATGGATGTGAAAGAATGTTGGAAATACAATAAAGCAGTTATAAATACCATTTGTTTGTTATGTTTTTTGTTTATTTGTTTTTTTGAGAGGGAGTCTCGCTCTGTTGCCCAGGCTGGAGTGCAATAGCGTGATCTCAGCTCACTGCAACCTCTGCCTCCTGGGTTCAAGTGATTCTTCTGCCTCAGCTTCCCAAATGCTGGCATTACAGGCATGCACCACCACATCCGGCTGAGTTTTGAATTGTTAGTAGAGGTGGGGTTTCACCAGGTTGGCCAGGCTGGTCTTCAACTCCTGACCTTGTGATTGCCTGCCTTGGCCTCCCAAAGTGCTGGAATTACAGGCATGAGCCACCTCACTAGCCATCATTTTTTTTTTTTTTTTTTTTTTTTTTTTTTTAAGAGAGGCGGGATCTCATTCTATCCTTCAGGCTGGAGTGCAGTGGCAGAATCATAGCTCACTGCAGCTGCGAACTCCTGGGTATAAGGGGTCCTCCTACCTCAGCCTCCCAAGTTGCTAGGGCTACAGGCATGCACAAACATGCCTGGCTAATTTTTAAACTTTTTTGTGTAGACAGGATCTTGATAATGTTCCCCCAGCTGTACCTGGCCAAGATACTGTCCTTACCCTCTCTCTGACCCACATCACCATTGTGATTTTCCTCCTGGCATTTATCATTATTTTGGCTGAAAAATTACCCTCTCCTATGTCTATTATTTTGCCCCTTACCAGAGCTTTATTCATCATGAATCAATATTTTTATGCTTGCCGACCTGTGCACTGGGCCCTGTGGGTTGCACCTTTGGCAAAGAGGTAGCAGTTCTGTTTTCAATAAGCTTTTAATTGGACCCCAAACTGACCTTGAGTAGAAATCAACATACTTTTGAATGATAGTTACGGTACTATATGAGTCGCTTAGACATCACCTTCTTTGGGAAGCCCTATGTGACCCTTCCATTCTGGCTTAGATATGCACCCTGTGTGCTTCCATAGCACCTTATTCTTTTTTCTCTTCTTTTTTAAATTTTTTTACTTTAAGTTCTGGGATACATGTACAGAATGTGCAGGTTTGTTACATAGGTATGCATGTGCCATGGTTGTTTGCTGGAGCTATCAACCTGTCATCGTCGCTCCTCCCCTGACAGTCCCCAGTGTATGTTGTTCACTACTCTGTGTCCATGTGTTCTCATTGTTCAACTCCCACTTATGAGGGAGAATATGTGGCGTTTGGTTTTCTGTTCCTGCATAGCACCTTATTCTTGTCTCTATTCCAGGGCTCTTCATTTTGTATTGTAATGGATTGTTTAGTCTCCTTTTTTCTCCAGACTAGAGTGTGAACAACTTGAGATCTTTTTAACTTTATATTCCTGGGGTCTAGCACAGTATCTGGTACACTTTGGGTACTCTGTAAATGTTAACTGAAAGAAGAAATCAGTAGATTAAACAGAGAAACCTAATCACATAAATTAGCATTGATGGAACTGTTAAATAAGGTCAAATAGCTCATTACTTCCAACTTTAGGAGTTAAGATTCCTAAAGGATATGATACACATTGAAGTGGGATTCATATCCTTTGAAGTGGGATTATAGTCTTTTTCTTCTACTTAATGTTTTTGAAACATCTCCTCTCTATCCCCCATCTGCATTCTCAATCTTTACTTCCTAGTTTTCCACAACCTTTTTTTTTTTTTTAAGAAAGGAGAGAAGGAAAGAAAAAAAAGGAGTGAAAGAGAGGAAGAAAGAGGAAGAAAAAGAGGGAGAGAGAACGGGAATGTTGCTTTATTCTAAAAATGGATATTGAAAACCTCTTTTATGCCAATAATTGTGCTTAATAATGGCTGATCAGTATTTCATTTAAACCTATGAGTAGGTGTGATGTGGTACTGACAATAATGTATATTTTGTGTATTTAAAGTGGAGAGCTCTATAAATGTTTATTAAGTTTACTTGTTCCAGATCTGAGTTCAAGTCCTGGATATCCTTATTAATTTTCTGTCTCATTGATCTATCTAATATTGATGTTGAAGTCTCCCACTATTATTGTGTGGGAGTCTAGGGAGTCTAAGTCTCTTTATAGGTCTTATGTATCTGGGTGTTAGGATCGTTAGCTCTTATTGTTGCATTGATCCTTTTACCATTATATCTTTGTTGCTTTAAAATCTATTTTATCAGATGCGAGAATTGCAACTCCTGCTTTTTATTTATTTATTTTGGCTCTCCATTTGGTTGGTAAATCTTTCTCCATTCCTTTGTTTTGAGTCTTTGTGTATCCTTGCATGTGAAATGGGTCTGGATGTAGCATACTGTTGAGTTTTGGCTGTATCTTTTGATTGGGGGATTTAGTCAATTTACATTTAAAGGATTACTGCCATTTGATGTTAGCTGACTGTTTTGTCCATTCGTTGATGTAAATTCTTTATTATGTTGATGCTCTTTACTTTTTGGTATATTTTTGGAAAGGCTAATACTGGTTGTTCCTTTCTATGTGTAATGCTTCTTTCAGAAGCTCTTGTAAAGCAGGCCTGGTGGTAATAAAATCTCTGAGTACTTGCTTGTTCATAAAAGATTTTATTTTTCCCTCAGTCGTGAAGCTTAGTTTGGCTGGATATGAAGTTCTGGGCTGAAAGTTCTTTTCTTTAAGGATGTTGAATATTGGCCCCCACTCTCTTCTGGCTTGTAGGGTTTCTGCTGAGAGATCTGCTGTAAGTCTGATAGGCTTCCCTTTGTGGGTAACCTGACCTTTCTCTCTGGCTGCCCTTAGTATTTTCTCCTTCATTTCAACCCTGGTGAATCTAACGATTATGTGCCTTGGGGTTGCTCTTGAGGAATATCTTTGTGGTGTTCTCTGTATTACCTGGGGTTGAATATTGTCCTGCCTTGCTAGGTTGGGAAAGTTTTCCTGAATAATATCCTGAAGAGTATTTTCCAGCTTGGATTCATTCTCTTTGTCACATTCAGGTACACCTATCAAACGTAAATTAGGTCTTTTCACATAGTCCCATATTTCTTGGAGACTTTGCTCATTCCTTTTTATCCTTTTTTCTCTATTCTTGTCTTCTCGTTTTATCTCATTAAATTGGTCTTCGACCTCTGATATCCTTTCTTCTGCTTGATCAATTTGGCTATTAAAACTTGTGCATATTTTGCTAAGTTCTCGTGTTGTTTTTCAACTTCGTTAATTCATATATTCCTGTCTATATTGTCTATTCTTGTTAGCATTTCGTCAAAACTTTTTTCAAAGTTCTTAGTTTCTTTCTTTCTTTTTTTTTTTTTTGAGACGGAGTTTTGCTCTTGTTACCCAGGCTGGAGTGCAATGGTGCAATCTCGGCTCACCGCCACCTCTGCCTCCTGGGTTCAGGCAATTCTCCTGCCTCAGCCTCCTGAGTAGCTGGGACTACAGGCATGCATCCCCATGCCCAGCTAATTTTTTGTATTTTTAGTAGAGATGGGGTTTCACGATGTCAACCAGGATGGTCTTGATCTCTTGACCTCGTGAACCACCCGCCTTGGCCTCACAAAGTGCTGGGACTACTGGCGTGAGCCACCACGCCCGGCCAGTTCTTAGTTTCTTTACATTGGGTTAGAACAAGTTCTTTTTTTTTTTGCCAGTTTGAGCTTATGAGGTTGCTCAGGTTAGCCCTGAACTGATGACCTCGCCTTCGCAAGCGAAGCCACTTTGGACCCCCAGAACAAGTACTTTTAACTCCCAGAAGTTTCTTATCATCCACCTTCTGAAGCCTACTTTTGTTAATGGAACACAGTCCTTCTCCATCAGGCCTTGTTCCGTTGCTGATGAGGAACTGTAATCCTCTGTAGAGGGAGAGGCATTCTGATTTTGGGTATTCTCAGCCTTTTTAGGCTGGTTTCTTCCCTTTGTTAAAATTTATTCATCTCTCGTCTTTACAATTACCGCCTTTCTAATTAGGTTTCTGAGTGAACGTCCAATTTATTGATTCCCAGCGCTGGAATCTGAGCAACCCACTGCGCGGGCCAAAACAGTGGCGTTAAGACTGATGGTGCTCGGCCCGGGAATCTCCAGTCTGGCTTCCTTCTTGAGTCGATAATAAGCGACTCTGCCT